TTGTGATCACATGAGAAGCGTCTTATCATGCTAGACAGCATTCGAGAGGCAGCAGGTCGAGAATCTCCTATGGCCTCCGGTGACTCCTTGAAGGGAAGACGAAGTACATATCTCCCCGATGAGTTTCTTGAGTGGCTGTTACAAAAATGATCTTCACACTCTTGTTCTTCTTTAGAAAGGATTGTTTGTGCGGATAGTTGCGCTTCTTCTTGAACCCAAAATCGTTGAAGCGCAGCGTGTAAGTCATGATCAATCGAACATTGATAGCTTTGAATTGGTTGAGTCATCTTTCGATACTCGCTAAGAGGAGAGACTGGACCTGATATTATCCAGCCAAGTGCAGTACGCCTGGCAAATGGAGAATTTGAGCTTCCTTTAACAAGTTCAGGTTCAATTAAATCAGAATACAGATCTATGCCAATGATAAGATCGATTTGGCCAGTCTTCAAATAGTAAGGATCAGCTAGCGTAAGTCCGCGCAAATGCGGCCAATCATTGTGCTCGAATTCTAGTGATGGTATTTCAGCCGTAGGCTTTGGTAAAATGTACGCTGGGACGTCCCATTTTAAACTTGAGTTAAAATGCGGCTTTAGGGAAAAGCTTACTATACCTTTAGTTGTACTTGATGAGTGTGCACCAACTCCATAGAGGGGAATACTTGCCTTTTGACGCTTAAGATAAAGATGTTGTGTAGCCGCTTCACTGATAATTGTAATCTGTGAGCCGGGGTCGATTAGAGCACGAACCTACAGCTGCTTACCTTGTGGAGAAAACAACCTAACGAGCGCAGTTGCCAACAGAGTTCGCACCACTTTGACGGATGGACGTGGTATGGCTTGATTTGAGATGAACTGTGGTTTTTCAACACTATCAGCTGGAGCTGGTCTTGATGCAGTACCTGATGATGGAGAAGACGTCAGCTGTTTAGAGCTGGAACTCGTACTATGAATTGATGTGTGATGTTGCGCGCCGCATATTTGACAACGCTTAGTGTACCGACAGGTAGCTAGGCGATGAGGACCGAGACAATTGAAACATAATCTTTTTTCAACTAGAAGTTCCTTACGTTGATTTTCATCTAGACTGCGATACGTTGGACAAGTAGAGATGTAGTGAGAGTTGTTACACATGGAACAGTTGTTCGAGAAAGTAGC